GTGGGGGATTATTATGATATCCCTATGTATTGTTATTGGTGATGAAACCAATGGTGTCTCATTGAAATTTTGTATAGCATTCTTATTACACAATAAGGTATAATGGTGCTTAATAAAGCAAATGTGATATGCACTCATATTATGTAATAAGGTATAATGGTGCTTAACAAAGTAGCTGTAATAAGGTATAATGGTGCTTAACAAAGTAGCTGTGATATGCAATCCTATTGTACAATTGCGGTATAATGGTGTATGATGAAAAAAAAATAGTAAGGCATTTGAGAAAATGGATATGTGATGGACATTCCTATTGTACAACAAGGTACAATGGTGTTTGAGTTAAAAAATTCTTAAATACATGTCTCTACATGTATGGAAAGAAAAGGGTGGTTCCCTAGCTTGATTTGATATCAAAACTGTGGTACCATGAATTGAGAACTTGAGAAATATGAATGTGAATTTTATGAGCTATTAGACATGTGGGTTGATGTGAAAAAGTGAGAAAAAGAATGAGTTGAATCTCTTTTTACCCACCATATCACCAACTAGGCATTTGGTAAAAACGAAAGTTGGAGGAAAAACTATGATCATGGTCCAAGGTTTAGTGCTCATTGAGGTGATTTGGGATGCAAGCCCAATAATATAGAACCTTCTATGAGGATACCCAACCCGAATTCTGAGAATTGGGTTTTGAATGAGAAAAACAAATTATAGAGAAGTCGTTGTTGAAAGATGCATTAATATTTAACGGAAAATTTTTTTGATCCCATTCCTAAGGTGAGGATGCATCTATTCCATAACGAATTGAGGGTTGAGTTATATATTCTTAATGAAATTTGTAGCTCATAGAGTGGGGTGTCTTAGTTATGGGAGCACCCTTGACAAATTTTACTTATGTGGGTGTTGAAGTGAGACAACTTCTATGAAAATTAGATGGGCAATTTTCTAGATCACCCATGAAAACTGGGATCATGCGTAAGGCCATAATGCGCCAGTTGTGTAAAAAACTCAACATTGGGATCATTATGTGTATGATATGATTCTTGTATCTTTTAACGGGGTCATAGTTTAAGATTTAGTTCACTATTGACTTTGGATTAAGAATTGTTGACTCATTAAGTAAAGGTTCAAAGTTTAGCTACCATTATTATGCATAATAATCCATTTTTATCCAAAGAAAGGTTTATTTTTTTATTAAAAAGTGGGGGAATTGTTGAAAATTAAATATTTTAATAAAAATAAAATAATATATTTTATAAATTAAATTAATTGTCCCATTAAGTACTTAGTCAAACTAGCCATTGTAAGTTAATTGTCCTATTTAAGGGCACATTATTTCATAATAATTACCAAATTTATTCCTATCATTAACCTACAAATAGGAGTTATAAGATCATGAGTCCTATAAATAGAACATGTCTATTTGCTTAAAGGACAGAATTCCTTCACATTCTTCTATTTTCCTTACTTTATTTTATCTTCTAAATATTCTTGGGTAAAGAATGATGTTTTTGAGTTTTGTAACTCTATGGATAATGCAGATTCATAGAATGTAATTATAAAGATGTAGCATCCTAGGGGCAGACATGCTATATATATCTTTGCTGCACCGGTTGATCTATTCTCCGTAGAAGCGTAAATCGCTTTAAAGTAAATAAGTTTTTTCATGTCTATTTTGATGATATTTTCTTATCAATATTTTTCAATAACTTCACTAATTATTATTTTATTTGATCTTATAATTGAGACACAATAATGATATGATGTGGAGATGGAAGAGAATGTTCGAGGAATAACAGATTGTGTATGAGAAAGTGTGTTTTTTGAAAAGCATAGATTGGATCTAAGCAATGCCAGTAACCATTCCAATAAAAAAGGAGGGCAAAAGAACAAATAGAGGTTGAACAATTTTTTGGTTTTGCACAGACCTGGATTTTAAATGTGTGATCTAAACAATGCTTTTGGCACATGCACTTTCGTTTGTACAGGACTGGGTTTTACTCGTTTTTGTTTTTGTGTTTTTTTTTAAAAAAAAAACTGCTGGGTGAGGGAAGAGAAAGAGGAACGCAGAAGAGATATGCCGATGAAGGGAGAGGAAGAGATCTTTGACTCCAAAAAAGAGGAAGAGGCGAGGAGAAGGGATAAAGTGGACTTTGTGTTGGGAGATAGATTATCCCCGACGTCAGAGAAGGTGATTGAAAGGAAAGAATCGAGAACGGGAACCAGGGAAGATGACAATGAATAGATTTGTAAATTCACTAACTTACGGTTGGACGTTTTGGTTGGCAAAAAGACCTAAATTTTTAATGAATTGCTTTAATTTATATGCAATAAAAGGGGACCGCCGAGTGGTTTTTGTAATTTTTTAATTACAGAAATGCACGTGTAAATGTCATATAAGCAAAGATATTAACATGTAATGTTCATGTAATATTAAAAAGGTTTTTTTAATTTATATCTTTAAAATATAAGTTAAGGATATTTTTTGTCATAAAGGTATATAGAAAAATATAAAATTAATATTAATTATAGTATTTATACTAAGTAAATAAATTTAATTAGACAATTGATAAATTAAAAGTTACTTTTTACTTTTTCAA